GAAATTTATGAGGTCACCACAATTTGACAGGCAACTTAAAGGCAAAAAAATATACTGACTTGTTGAAAGAGATGAACTAGATATCCCAATAAGGTAAGGTAGCAGTCATGATAGGCAGGTACCATAATGATAGAGTAACTTGTCTTTACAAACTAGTAGAGTTAATTCATGACATGCTAGAATGCCAAAGAAATCTTACTTGTGGATTTAGAGTGAGTGTGAATGCCACTGAGTCGAAGCTGTAAACTGCTAAGTTCACAATAAGAATATAATGCCATTTCCTTCAAATGTAATTATGTATTTCAAATAATTTCCCAGGTAAAAGGTTAATGCAGAAGCTGTATTTCACTGCTGCTCATTTTCAAGACATCAGTACACAAATATTAGCTGAGTGCATGCTGTACAAGGCAACTCGGTCTCCAACTCTTACATTGGTAGAAATCTATTAGTACCACCCTGTACCTTTGAATCCTGACACAAAAGCAACTTCAAAACAAGTATTTCATTACTTGTAATAGTATGCTGCTAAATTCTCCACTTCCTGTAAGAACAAGTGAATTTTAGGTCATCTTGCAGCACAAACAGGAAACACTGGTAGAATCTATGTTTTGCAGTAGAGATTGTGTGCATGAATCTTCCACAAATTAACCAGGTGTGGCTTTAAAGAAGCCATTATCTTCCTGAGTCAGCACATCTACAATGTGAAGATACACATACTGATCTTACCCTTGTGAGAATCTACCAAGATTATGTAAGTGGAAAAGCACTCAAATCATTCAAAATACTGTCTAAATAATATTTTATTATCATTCTTCTTGCTTAAAACTTGTTCTATATTGAGTTGATATGAATAATTCATTTGTATCATCTCTGCTATTAAAAGAACACACAAGTTTCCAAATTAAAATAAAGCTTCCCATGCTGACAGGAAGCACAAATATCATTTTTATAAACTTTCCTGTTTCAAAGATTGGGGATGCAGCAACACCGAAGCATTACAAAGTTAACTTGAAATCCATTTAGTTACTTGCCCAAGACAAATAAAAATTAAAAGGCCATACTGAGTGAGACTAAAGACGTATTAGACCCAACATTCTGTTCATACTGTGGCCAATCAGTTCCCAGTTGCTACGATATTTTGTGGCAGTGGTTCTATGTGCCCTAAATTGCCCACCATTTGACTTCAATGACTCTCAGTTCCAGAATTATGAAAATACCAAAAATGCATTTTCAAATTCTTTCTTCATCCAATCTATTATTTTGTGCGGTATCTTTTTGTCATTGGTTATATTTTAAATACTTTTTACACTCTTTTAATTCAGTTTGATCACTTTAACAGAATATAGTTGCTTTTTCACTACTATATTTTCGATGTATTCTTTTAATGTATTTTTCAGACTGCCTTAGGTACTGAATTATGAATGTATAGAAAATAAATATAATGTCTCTCTTTGCTTCTATGTTTAATTCTATTTTAATGATTGTATGTTCTCTAGGTTCTAAATTATATTTTGTATTGCTTTTGCTGTTTGATGCTTTGGGTCTCTTTTTAGAGAGATAAAGTGGAATACTAATACTACGACCTATTGTTATTATTGCCTTTTTCTAAGTGCCTTTTTTCTAAGTGCCATATGCCGCAATCTTTCATAGTGTAACTACTCCAGTGTCTTGGTTAATTTGGTGACCCTTTTATTTCACTTTTTCCAGATCAATAACATTTTGTAGGTGCCATGATCAGAACTGTAGAAAATGAGGTCACACCAAAGATTTCGTTAAAGCCAGTACTGTCAGTTTTCATTCAATGCCTTTTCACTATGATGCATGTGGAATTTTATAGCAGCTGTAAACTTTGTTGACATTTTCACTGATCTCTTGCCCCATTACTAAGATCCTTTCCTTGGTAAATTTCTATCAGCTCAGTTTCCACAGTGTGTATTGTGAAATTGAGAATTTTACCCAATACATATCTTTGCTTATATTTACCATGTTAACATCTTTTCCCACATCAGAAAAATCCCTCTGGTGCTCTTTTCAACCTGTCTGTTGTCCCCACTACTTAAATTCACATCACCAGGAAGCTTGCACACCTCAGTTTACTTCAACTCCAGAGCATACAAACGAATGATTAACAGTCAATGAGATGCCATGCAATCAGGATGTTCCATTTTTATCACTACTGTCTTTATTTAAATGAATTTCAAATTCCAGGGTAAAGAAAAATCACTGCTAAAGACTCCACAGAGCTTCTGCAACACCAGTGGCTCAATAGTATACAGCTGTTCAATTTGTTTAGTAAGTTCCAGACCAATACTTTTAAGATGAGGGTGGTTACTACACCACCCTCATCTTAAAAGTATTGGTCTGGAACTTACTAAACAAATTGAACACTGAACTGTGACTCTGCAGACCATGATTACAGTTCTCACTCAGTCATGGCTACCCACTGGCTGACCTTAAGCAAATCACATACCCTCAGCTTCAGAAGAAGGCAAAGGCAGAACACATCTTGCCTCCAAACACATCCTGCCAAGAAAACTCTGTGAAATGGTCACCATAAGTACAAAATGACTTGAAGACACACAACAATAACTAGTAAATAATTTCAGTGGAAACCTGACTCATCACAAGGCATTTCACATATACAATACAAGCTTCCATTTATAAATCCAGAGCGCACACAGCAAAGAATTAACAGCACCATGATCAACTGTGTGTAGTTTAAAAGTCTTCAAACACTATTCTTAAAAAAGAAAAATAGTTTTCACACATTAACTTGGTACCACACAGCAATCACTTTTTATTCCAAAAGAATATCCCTGGCACTCAACCAAGAACTCAGCGTACAAACTATGAAATCAATCACTCAGACTGGCTGAGAAAATACCAAATTTAAAGGAAAATCAGAGAATGACAACAATGTGCTCACTTTTTTCCCCTTCTGACCAATCACACTCCCAGTTCTAAAGACACACCCCAAGGAAACTTTGGGACAGTTTTTTGGATCCCTCATCACCCTCTGTAAATGGTCGGTAAGGACAACATCCACACAATTGGTCCCTGCCTGTCTAGCTGCATATTTGCATGCTAGAAACTGAGGCTGCTAAGGAAACTGCTGAAGGATATACACAACGAAGCTTCAGGCTATGCATCTCTTTCACTTCGTGACTAAAGCTGCCTCAGTGGTCATTATGAAAATGGAGGGACTTGGGGTCTACGCAGCAGAATGAATGCTGTCTGACACCCCAACTGATGTTCAGCAGTGGAACTCTCTGACCTGCAGTATGGTGGAGGATCCTTCTTTGGAGGCTTTTAAACAGAGGCTGGGTGGCCATCTGTCAGGGGTACTTTGAATGCGATTTTCCTGCTTCTTGGCAGGGGGTTGGACTGGATAGCCCACAAGATCTCTTCCAACTATGATTCTATGGTTCCAACACTATGAAATCACTGCAGTTTTATTGTTTTACAAGCCATATTCTGCCAAAGAGTGCCGATATCTCACCAAACTACACCTCCCATGATTCCATAGCAGTTAAAGTGATGTCAAACTGGATTCATTCTATAGTGTGGAACAAGCATGGGCAATCTCGGCCCTCCAGATGTTTAGGACATCAACTTCCACAATTCCTGACAGACAACCAGCTGTTAGGAATTGTGGGAGTTAAAGTCCAAAACACCTGGAGGGCCGAAGTTTGCCCATGCCTGGGCTGAATGAACTTCTGGTCTTTCTCTCACGCATAAAGAATGCACATAACAACGTAAAATTCATACAATTTGGTACCAATTGCGCTGCCATGGCTCAGTGCTAGAGAACCACCCACAAATCCTACCAGCCTGTTAGGACTTATGGGAGTTAAAGTCCAAAACACTTGGAGGGCCAAAGTTTGCCTATGCCTGGGCTGGATTAACTTTTGGTCTTTCTCTCTCACATACAGAATGCACATAATGTAAAATTCATACAATTTGGCACCAATTGCACTGCCATGGCTCAGTGCTAGAGAACCACCCACATTTCCTACCAGCCTGTTAGGACTTATGGGAGTTAAAGTCCAAAACACCTGGCGGGCCAAAGTTTGCCTATGCCTGGGCTGGATGAACTTCTGGTCTTTCTCTCTTGCATAAAGAATGCACATAACAACGTAAAATTCATACAATTTGGTACCAATTGCACTGCCATGGCTCAGTGCTAGAGAACCACCCACAATTCCTACCAGCCTGTTAGGGATTGTGGGAGTTAAAGTCCAAAACATCTGGAGGGCTGAAGTTTGCCTATGCCTGGGCTGGATGAACTTTTGGTCTTTCTCTCTCACATACAGAATGCACATAACGTAAAATTCATACAATTTGGCACCAATTTCACTGCCATGGCTCAGTGCTAGAGAACTACCCACATTGCCTACCAGCCTGTTAGGACTTATGGGAGTTAAAGTCCAAAACACTTGGAAGGCCGAAGTTTGCCTATGCCTGGTCTGGATGAACTTCTGGTCTTTCTCACTCACATACAGAATGCACGTAACAAGGGAATTCATACAATTTGGTACCAATCGCACTGTCATGGCTCAGTGATAGAGAACTAGGGATAAAGTGGAGAGTAACTAGATGGAAAGTGGTGTCAAACTGCGTTCATCCTACAATGCAGATGCGCCCTAGGAATGAAAGCCGGCCTTATATTTTGGACTCAAAAAAAAGAGGCCTAGTGGAGCAGAACATCCTCTTGGGCAGGCCTTCGCTTGATCAGACTGACGTCTTCAGCAAAGGCAAAAAGAGAGAGAGACCTTCTCAAGCCAGAGAGAGAGAGACCTTTCGCCATGGCAACTTGGCACAGGTAATATAACAGACGTCTTGAGGGAGGTCTGCTTTAGATGGGGATGCCCAAGGAGTGAAGGGAGGGAGGGAGGAAGCCTCAGAGAACGGAGACCTCCCCTCACGAGCCCCTCGCCCCTCCAACCTCCCTCCGTCTTTTCCTCTTCTTCTTCTTCTTCCTTGGGGCGGCCTCTTCTTACCTCCGCTAACATTATTGACTCGCGGTGGAAGCCTCCGGCTCTAGCCCCGCCGCATGGCGTTATCGCGGCCCGGAGCCGCAGGCCGCGAAGGGAGACCGGGCCCGCCGCCTGTCAGCCTGCCTGCCCGCCTGCCTTCCTTCCCCTCAGCGGCACCTTCTTCTTCCTCCCGCCGCCGCCGCCTCCGCAGGTCGGTCAGGAGAGGCGGCCATCTTGAGGAGGCTGCGTGAGGCGCCGCCCAGGCCCCTCCGCCCGGCCCCGCCTTCGAGGCCTTCAAGGCCTCCTCCCTCCCTCCTTCCTTCCCTCCCGGGTTAATCCCACCTTTCACAGAGAGAAAGGGGCGTGCCGTGCGTGTGGAGGAAAAGGAGAGAGAACCCAATCACCACACGTCGCCGCGGCTTCCAGAGCGGCGCTTCCGCTCTAAATCCCTTGGAATCCTGGGATTTGGAGTTTGAGGAGAAAGGCTTTCATACGCTCCGCTAGGGAAGTCCTAGGCCTCACTGAACTACAAAACCCAGAAGCACACAAAAGGCAGGCGTAGGATTTAAAGTGGCACAGCTCTTTCACAATATAGTCCAGGCATAGGCACGCTTCGGCCTTCCTTCCAGGGGTTTTGGACTTCAACTCCCATAATTCCTAACAGCCGGTAGGCTGTTAGGAATTGTGGGAGCTGAAGTCCAAAACCCCTGGAGGGAACGGCTGTTGGGAATTGTGGGAGTTGAAGTCCAAAACACCTGGACGGAAGGCCGAAGTGTGCCTATGCCTGCTCAACACTATAGAGTGAATCCAGTTTGACACCACTTTAACTGCTATGGAATTTCTAATAGATACTAGACTGTTAGGAATTGTGGGAGTTGAAGTCCAAAATATCTAAAGGGCCGAGATTTCCCATTCCTGCTCAACACTATAGAATGAATCCAGTTTGACACCTCTTTACCTGCTATGGGATTCCTAGTAGACACTAAACTGTTAGGAATTGTGGGAGTTGAAGTCCAAAATACCTGGAGGGAAGGCCGAAGTGTGCCTATGCCTGTTCAACACTATAGAGTGAATCCAGTTTGACACCACTTTAACTGCTATGGAATTCCTAATAGCCACCAGACTGTTAGGAATTGTGGGACTTGAAGTCCAGCACATCTGAAAGGCTCAAGTTTGCCCAAGCTTGGTGCATTGTAATAAATTATCTATATGCGGGTATATAAAAGTCAAAAGTATATGTGGCCCCATCTACACTGCCATCTCATCCATTATCTTTTGGAAAATGGCATTCAAAACCTTCTGGGAAAACACATTTTGGAGATCATAGCTTTCTTAGAAAAGCATGACCTTTCAGAGAACAGCATCTTTAGAGTAGCATCTTCTCTTGTAGTATACAACCAGATACAATTATACAAGGCAATGGGTTTCAGTTGTTATGATTTTGCAAATTAAGCACCAAAACATCATGTTTTACAACAAAAAGCAGTTCAATACACGCTAACATTATGTAGTAATTACTGTAGCACCAAAACATCACGATGTATTAAAACTGTGGATCCGGGCGGGAAACAGACTGCGTTAGATAATACAGAACGTTGGATGAGTGAAGGTTGGATAAGCAAGACTCTACTGTATTTTTAAGATATATGATTGCTTGCTTATTTGACATAGACTCAGAGGTTTCTCCTTATGTTTCTGCAACATACCTACACATTGCCTCCAACACACTAAGGTGTCACGACACACGTTTGGAAAGCTTTGGTGTGGTGTGATAATAAATTTAATAATTCATTTCATATATCTTGTTTGTAGCGCGAAAAAAGGAAAGGAAAAAGAATATAATATTTGAAAGGAAGAACAATTTTAACCAACGTAAACTTAACAGTATTTCCGTGGAAAACACCAGGGACCATCCAGTCCAACCTCCTTCTGCCATACAGTAAAAGCACAATCAAAGCACCCCTCAACAGATGGCCATTGAGCCTTTGTAGTAGTAGTAGTAGTAGTAGTAGTAATAGCAATAGCAGAAACCAAGGAACCATCCAGTTCAACTCTCTTGTGCCATCCAAGAAAAGCACATTCAAAGCACCCCTTGAGCAGTGTGAGGGAAATAGAGTTTTGGAAGCAAGGAAGACTAATGGGGAAAGGATCTGGGTGGTGAGGAAGGCAAGAGAAAAGGCTTTTGGCAGCGGGGGGGGGGGGGGGGGGGGGGGGGGGGGGGGGGGGGGGGGGGGAGGGAGGAGAGATGTAGAAAAGTGGAGGGAAGGCTTGGTAGGGGGAGAATATATATAGCTTGACACACATTGAACTGCCAAGGCACAAAACTATGAAATCATGGGGATTTAATTTGATGAGGCACCTTTACTCCATGACAGATAGTAATTATTATTGCCCGCCTCTCCTTGCAGCTTGAGGAGGGGTACAATAGGGTTAAAACACAGAGATAGAACACAAGACTATTAAAATACATATAACCAGTTATGCACAGGTAATTTAATTGTAATTTAAAATTCACAAATTAATAATTGACTGGATAGGCCTGCCAGTTGAGTTTTGAATTCCAATAGCTGATTTTGCTGTCAAAGCTTTTTTTGTCAGCCGTTCCACGGTCTAGGGCTGGCCAATGAAAAGGTCCTCTGTGAGCCTACTGATAGCACCCCACTCCATGCCTCTGGATGAGGTCTCTCAACGGTTTGTAAATGTAAATGTTAAAAAACATTGGGGATAGAATAGAGAAGGCTAAAGACTTTATAAAACAACAATTCTCACAATTCCATAGCATTGAGCCATGGCAATTCAAGTGGTGTCAAACTATATTTATTCTACAGGGTAGTTGAATCCTTAATGGAGAGGGTGGGATTAGGAGAGGGAACCAGAAAAGGCAGTTGAACAGCTGGAGGCCTCAGAACATGTTCCTTTGAGTCCCAAATACAGGTTGAGTCTCCCTTATCCACAAGGCTTGACACCAAACATGTTTTGGAGTTTTTTGGGAATACCCATGTTTGCACAAAATTGGGATGCATCTACAATGTAGAATTAGTGCAGTTTGACATCAATTTCATTACCGTGGTTCAGTGCAATGGAACAGGAATTGCCTGGTGAGACACCATTACTCTTTAACTAAGAAGTATAAAAATCTTGTAAAATTACAAACTTTGAAAGCACTGAGCCATTGCAGTTAAAGTGGTGTTATAATACAGTGCAGGTGCACCCTTGGAGATGGGACTCAAGTCTAAACTCAACATTCATGTGTGTTTAAATACAGAGAGAGAGAGAGACTGAGGTAATTGTATACAATATATTAAATAATTTTGTGCAGGAAACAAAATTTGTGCAAATAGAACCATCAGAAAACAAGGTGCCACTATCTCAGCCACTTTTGGATTTCAGAATTCACAATAAGTGATACTCAGCCTATATATTAAAGCATCTATCGCACTGACCATAATGGAGCTTCCTTCTCTTTCTGATATATGCTGTTCCATCCTTAACCACACTAACACACTCATCTGAAGAGTATGCCCTTTTCTCACCCTTTCAGCACTTGTTTATGGGTGTTGTCAAATATGGATTCTTATCTCCTCCACTGACTGTTTAAGGACACGAACTGGTAGTTCTACCAAATTAATCGACGGAAGTGTTTAGTTATGTATATCTGAGGGAGCAAAAGAAGGCGTAGCAGAACAGCAGACTTTTTAAATTCAGAATGCCAAGCAAGAGATGAGTCCAAAAGGGGTTGAAAGAGCACTTAACACAGATTGCTGTGACAGACGCTGAGGTTGGGTACTCATTCCCAGTTTCTTATGTCTTAGAGCAGAGTCAGCTGAATAAGGAACTAAGTTTCATATGCCTTTGCACCCACTTTTATTTTTATTTTTTTGCACAAAGAACACAGCACATTGTGGATACCCACTACAAAAAAAGGAACAGTTGCTGCACATCTCACAGCTGTAGTCCACCTGAGGTCATGCACATACATGTCCAGAACAGTGTCATCCCAATTATATTCATACTGGTGGCCCATGGACTACCAAAAACAAACAAACAAACATTGCAGCTAATAAGCACATAGTTGGTGCTGGTCACTGACACATTGAAAAATAATATTATTAATTGCCAGCCCCCCACATGAGAAGTATGGCTTCATCAAGTCCTGCCCAAAGTTCTGCAGCTTTGAATCTGTTTTAAGATTTGAAAGTGTGATATTAATAAAAATAATGAGAATAAGAAGAATGATTCTATGCTCAGGGAAGCAATGACAATAACAGCCCAAATAGCTACAAATGAACAAATAACTGAGACCATGCATTCATTATCATCTTTATGGTGTCACACACACACACATTCATATACCCAAGAGATTCCCATGTCTATAGTGGGAAATTATCCAGATATGCTAGACTTCAAATTCCAGAAGCCTTAGTCAGCATGGTGTCGTCGTCTGCACACTGGACTATGGAAGTTGTAGCTCAACAAATCTGGAAGCCCCCAAATTCCTCATGCAAGCTCCATGTGATATTGGTGAAACTTGTGTAAAATTTCTGTATGCATAAAATACTGTCAATAAATACCATGCCAAATAATGCCAACCACAGAAACAAAAGGCTTACGATCTGTGTTCTATAATAAACTGCAGGCCAGCCTAAATCATTCTCCATATATGAGAAAAGTACCCTCAATGGATATAGCATCTGACTCAAAGCATTATTACAATGTAAGTAATTACTTGGAGTTGCCAGGTAATACAAGCTCATCAGGATGATCATGCTTTGTAAAGAAATTGTGGTTTGATAATTGTTTACTTGAAGCTGGGCAGTCCCATAGTCAGTCACAGAGATAAAGAACATTCCTATATTTAGAGTGAAGAGCATGGGTGTATATATGTTTCAGCTTTTTCATTTTACTCAGTTTGTTCCAAAGTTCAATGCATAAAAGGAGCTGGAATCTAGTATCTTCAGCATTTTCAGAGGTTTATCCTGGTCTGTTGCAGCAAACTCACAAAGCATAATTCAGGGAGGATAACTGGGAACAGTAAGAGGAAGTACAATATTTTTGATAATCACTTGAACTATATATTTTGTGTTTGGATAGTATGGTTTTGGCTACATAAGGATCCACGTTTGAAGAATTTAATTTAGTAGGTTCTTGTGGGTTTTTTCGAGCTATAGAGCCATGTTCTAGAACATGGCTCTATAGCCCGAAAAAACCCACAAGAACCTAGTGATTCCAGCCATGAAAGCCTTCGACAATACAATTTAATTTAGTATTAGTATATGAGGTGCC